TAATGTCTTAGGTCTTCACGTTCACTCACCAGGGCAGCTTCTAGTCCTGCAAGCTCCTTTCATGGTAAGTGACCCATACGGGTGTAGCATTTTTTAACTTTTATACTATATTTTTACTGTACCTTTCTTTTATTTTTTATTTTTTAATTTTTTCCACAAGTCATTGGGGGACAGGTGGTATTTGGTTACATGAATAAGTTCTTTAGTGGTAGTTTGTGAGATTTTGGTGCACCCATCACCCAAGCAGTATATGCTGCACAGTATTTGTAGTCTTCTATCCCTTGCACCTGCAAGTCCCCAAAGTCCATTGCATCATTCTTACGCTCTTATGTTCTCATAGCTTAGCTCCCACACATCAGTGAGGACATAAGCTGTTTGGTTTTCCATTCGTGAGTTACTTCACTTAGAATAATAGTCTCCAGCATCATCCAGGTCATTGCAAATGCTATTAATTCATTTCTTTTTATGGCTGTGTAGTATTCCATCACACACACACCCCACAGTTTCTTTATCCACTCATTGATTGATGGGCATTTGGCATGGTTCCATGATTTGCAATTGTGAATTGTGCTGCTATAAACATGCATATGCAAGTATCTTTTTCAAATAAGACTACTTTTCCTCTGCGTGGATACCCAGTAGTGAGATTGCTGGATTAAATGGTAGTTCTACTTTTAGTTCTTTGAGGAATCTCCACACTGTTTTTCATAGCAGCTGTGCTAGTTTATATTCCCACCAGCAGTATAGAAGTGTTTCCTCTTCACCACATTCACACCAACACCTACTGTTTTCTAGATTTTTTGATTATGGCCATTCTTGCAGGAGTGAGGTGGTATCACATTGTAGTTTTGATTTCCATTTCCCTGATGATTAGTGATGTTGAGCATTTTTTCATATGTTTGTTGGCTGTATGTATATCTTTTGAGAATTGCCTATTCATGTCCTTATCACACTTTTTGATGGGATTGTTTGATTTTTTTCTTACTGATTTGTTTGAGTTCATTGTAGATTCTGAATATTAGTCCTTTGTCAGATGTATAGATTGTGAAGATATTTTCCTACTCTGTGGGTTGTCTGTTTACTCTGCTGACAGTTCCTTTTGCTGTGCAAAAGCTCTTTAGTTTAATTAGGTCCCAGCTATTTATCTTTGTTTTTATTGCATTTACTTTTGGGTTCTTGGTCATGAAATCCTTGCCTAAGCCAATGTCTAGAAGAGTTTTTCCAATGTTATCTTCTAGAATTTTTATAGTTGCAGGGCTTAGGTTTAAGTCCTTAATTCATCTTGAGCTGATTTTTATATAAGGTGAGAGATGAGGATCCAGTTTCATTCTCTTCCATGTGGCTAGCCAATTATCCCAGCACGATTTGTTGAAAAGGGTGTCCTTTCCCCACTTTATGTTTTTGTTTGGTTTGTCAAAGATAAGTTGGGTATAAGTATTTGGGTTTATTTCCGGGGTCTTTATTCTGTTCCATTGGTCTATGTGCCTATTTTTATACCAGTACAATGCTGTTTTGGTGACTATGGCCTTATAGCATAGTTTGAAATCAGGTAGTGTGATACCTTAAGATTTGTTCTTTTTGCTTAGTCTTTCTTTGGCTATGAGGGCTCTTTTTTGGTTCTGTATGAAATCTGGAATTTTTTTTTTCTAATTCTGTGAAGAATGATGCTGGTATTTTGATGGGGATTGCACTGAATTTGTAGATTGCTTTTGGTAGAATCGTCATTTTCACAATGGGAGATATTACAACTGACACCACCGAAATACAAAATATCTTTTAAGGCTACTATGAATACTTTTATGCACATAAACTAGAAAACCTAGAAGAGATGGATAAATTCCTGGAAAAACATAACCCTCCTAGCTTAAATCAGGAAGAATTAGATACCCTGAACAGACCAATAACAAGCAGTGAAATTTAAATAGTAATTTGTAAGTTACCAAAAAAAAAAAAAGTCCAGGACCAGATAGATTCACAGCAGAATTCTACTAGACATTCAAAGAAGAATTGCTACCAATCCTACTGACACTATTCTACAAGATAGAGTAAGGAAGATCCCTCCCAATTTATTCCATGCAGACAGCATCACCCTGATACCAAAATCAGCAAAGGACATAGCCAAAAAAGAAAACTATAGACTGATATCCTTGATGAACATAGATGCTAAAATCCTTAACCGAGTCCAGCAATTTATCAAAAAGATAATCCACCCTGATCAAGTGGGTTTCATACCAGAGATGCAGGGATAATTTAACATATGGAAGTCAATAAATGTGATATACCACATAAACAGAATTAAAAACAAAAATCAAATGATAATTTCAATAGATGCAGAAAAAGCATTTGACAAAATTCAGCATCTCTTTATGATTAAAACTCAGCAAAATCAGCTTACCAGTTACATACCTTAATGTAATAAAAGCCATCTGTGCCAAGCACATAGCCAATATAATGCTGAATGGGGAAAAGTTGAAAGCATTCCCTCTGAGAACTGGAACAAGACAAGGATGCCCACTCTCACCACTCCTCTTCAACATAGTACTGGAAGCCCTCACTAGACCTAGTAGAGTCTTTTAGCTATACACTGTTCCCTCCACCTTTATCAACTACCTGGTTAGATTATTGCATTTTCTCATTTAGTTAAATAACCTTGGACTCCACTGATAATTGTATTTTCTCCCTCTATGCTCCCTATAAAATATTGCAAATATCTGGAGGGAAAGACATGCAAATTTAGGGGGTTGTCTGTGCCCAACAGCACCTAGCATGGTTTTGCCATTAATGGCAAAAACTGCAGTTACTATTACACCCAATCTAATAGATAAGCAACTAGAGCTTGTTCAGTCGAATTGAATTACAGTGGTGAGTGTCATCAGTTTTGTTGGCGCCTGGCAAATGCTAACAGGTTTACTTATCTTATCTTATGAAAAATTCTCCATTCCTTGCTATGGAGGAATTACATTCTAGAAAAAGGAAAGTAAACTTATACAAGTAAATATCCCAAGTCAAACTGGGCTCTTACAGAGGCGCAAGCCACATGCCACAGGATCACAGAGGTGGGAGCAATGTAACAGCATCCAGGAGAGCTGTACTTCAGCATCCAGAGCACTGCTAGGGCTCAGTAAATATTTCTGATGGACTAAATGGTGTCCATTTTTATCTTTTACAGGAACTAGACTAGAACTTGATATATACTCAAAAAATTGTGCATGGGCTGACAAGTCAACTCAATTCTAGTGCCATCTGGACTCATGCCATCTCAGCCTCACAGGCCAGGAATACACCTGCCATGTGGTGGGCACTCCTGTGAAACTTAGTTGATTCTATAGCAGGAATTTGCATTTGCATTGAGTACATCAGGAGTGTGTTCCTGGACAGGGAATTTGGAATTCTGTTGTGGTGACTACATCTGGCTTCCCTTAGAGAGTAAACAGCATGTTCTGCATCATCTCACGACTCTCAGGCATCTGCTCAGCAAGCTCTGCATCCCTGGGGAGTTAAACAATTCAGTTCCTCCTGAAGGTCCTAAATTTGATTTTGTAGCATTCAGTAGGTGAAACTCCTGATGCTCCTGCTAACATGATTCACAAGTCCACCAACACAGCTGCCCTCCTTTGAATTCTGGTACTGTTGAGAAACCCTGGGCTAAATAAAGAACCTCTTCTTGAATAGGGAAGGTGACTTCCCAGCCGAGGGTTTTGTTGCTCATTAGGAAGAAAGGAATTTACCCCTAAATTGGGCAACTTTTGGGTATGCTGGAAAGAAGACTAGAATGAGAGCCAGGACATTCCAGTTCTGAGCTCCATCGTTAGCTAATTGTGTAACTATGGGAAAATCACAACAATTTGCAGGCTTCTGCTTTTTTCCTGCAGAACAAACAGCTTGCCCAGCTTATAAAAACCTTCCAGCTTCAGCATTCCATTATTTGGGATTTCACTGTGCTTTTCTGCCTGTTTATTACAAGTCTCCACATTACAAAGGATATGTTTGCCTGAAAGCACTGTGTCTAACTCATTTATACCTTCATACTTTTTTCAAGATTCAGGCTAATTTTTCATCATTTTTGGCATCCTTCTGGGATTTCTGGCAAATTCTAATATATCAGTCTCTTTATGTCCGGTTTATAAAGCATAGGACTAATCTTGAGTTTACTCTGTTTCATTTGCTATATTTAAAAATACACCCTAATTATCCATCCAGACTATATGACCAAGGCTCTAAACAATAAACAAAAGAATTTCTGTAATTTAAATCATATTTTTTTCGTGGATGGACACTCACTGGAGATCAGAGAGGTTGGAACTATTAAAACTCAAGTTACTTAGACTGCAGTGTCTACAAGACTGCCTGGCCCAGAATGGTTGGTATTTTTAGAAACTGATACAGAGTTCTATTGAGAAATGTGTGTGATAAAGTTACTTCCAGCAGTATTTGTTGGCTGAGCTGAACAGTCTTGAAGCCTGGTTTGTATCTGATTACAGGGTGAACAAAGTGCATGGAAGTAATGGATCTGACACATTCAGAGATTCTTTTTTATTTTTCATAAGCTTCTAGGTAGAGATAATTCTGCCCCCCTCCCCCCGAAAAAAAAGCACATTCTCTCTTAGGGACTTTTGTGGTATCTTTGGTGACTTGAGGATTGCAGCATTAGGGACTATGTGGTTTTCAACTTAGGACCTCAGGAGGATACTTCCTTATGTCATATTTGACATAATGGCAGCAGAGGTGGCATACCAGCGGTGAGAAGGAAGGGAAGTCCTGGTGTCACTGCTGGGCTCAGGAGTGTGGAAAGGACCCAGAGACATGAAACAGTGAGGAATTAAAAGTCTGTATCTAGGCCATGCCTGTAATCCTAGTACTTTGGGAGGCCAAGGCAGGTGGATTGCCTGAGCTCAGGAGTTCAAGACCAACTGTGCAATATGGTGAGACCCTGTCTCTACTAAAATATAAAAAATTAGCCAGGCATGGTGGCAGGTACCTGTAGTCCCTCAGGAGACTGAGGCACGAGAATCGCTTGAACGTGGGAGGCAGAGGTTGCAGTGAGCCGAGATTGCACCACTGCATTTCAGCAACAGAGCAAGAGTCTGTCTCCAAAATAAATAAAATAAAATAAATAAAATAAAATAAAATAAAAGACTTTATCTAGATGTTCTCAGGTTAATATGTATAAGGTCTTGTAGACAATCTCAGGAAGCATTAATGAGAATTCTTGGTTTGCTGGAGTTGTGTTTTCTTGTTTGTTTTGTGTTTTTCTTTGTTCTTTGTTTTAGACCATCCCTGGTCAACAAATTCAAAATTCCCATTATTAATCATGTCAATGACTGTCATCTTTAGAGGACATACCATAGCCTAGACTTGTGATGTCTAATACAGTAGCCACATGGGACTATTTAAACTTAAATTTAAAAATTCCTCAGTCTCACCATGGCCAGCGCACAGCTAACTCTTGACAGGCTGTACCTCCCACCTGGAGGAGAGGAAGTGGATGGGCATAGCAGAGAGGGACCTAACATTCAAGAGTATTCTGCATACTGCCAATAACTGCTGGAGGAAATAACACACAGGGGGAATAGAATGTATAATGAATCTGATAAATTATTTAATTAGAGGTTGGTTAAGACTGCTTCTATATTTTCATCTATCTGGGTATAACTACAAATAAGAACCAAGGGCCTTTAACAGTTGAAGTGATCAAAAATATACTTTCTCTGAAGTACAGGGAAGCTTGTGTAACTTTACAGACATAAATGATTTTAAACAAATCTCCACTTTATGCCGCATGACAGAGTAGAAATGTTCATAATCGCTTAGAGAAGAAGATAATGTTTTATGTGTCACTGGAGGAAAGTGTAAAACAAATATTTTACAATTTTTCTCTGGCCCATTTATTGTTTTGATTTGACTCAAATAACCTTTTTTTGTTGTTGTTATTGTAGTAGACTTCCTAATGCGTCTTCTCAATCACATGGGCAGATACACAGAACTTTATATGCATGAATAATATAAGTTGATGTAGCGATATATTTTCTTTGTTTTCACTTTATACATATGGCACAAATCCTAATAAAACTAGACTAGAATATATTATAAATTCATTTGGTTAGGATTCAGTTACTGAGGGAGTGAATAAATATATATGATTAAAAAAATAAAAATAAAAACAAAAATTCCTCAGTCACACTAGCCACATCGCAAATAGTCAGTAGCCACCTATGTAAAACTGGACAAAATAGGGAATTTTCTTCTTTTTTTTTTTTTTTGTATTTTTCTAAATCTTGGAGAATGAGGGAATTTTCACCATTATAGAAAGTTCTATGAGACAGTGCTGTGGGCACTCTCTAAATGTATTTTGGGCATTATTGCTAATTCTCTTACCATACTATAGTCAGTATTATTACCCCAGTTTTGCTGCTGAGGAAACTGAATTTCAGAGGGATTCAGTGACTTGGCCAAGTTCATGTACAGAGTACACGGCAGAGGTAGGGCTCCATTTTTAATTGGGCTGGTTCCTAAGGTCCTCCACTTCTTTTTACATCTTTCTTTCCCCCCTCTCCTCCCTGTCCTTCTTTCTCTTCCCCTCCCCTCCCCATCCCCTTCCCTCCCTTCTTTCCTTTCTTCCCTTCAGTAGGGTCTCAGTCTTTCACCCAGGCAGGAGTGCAGTGGCATGATCATGGCTCACTACAGCCACAAACTTCTGGATTCAAGTGGTCCTTCCAATTTAGCCTCCCAAGTAGCTGGAACTAACAGTGTATATCATTGGGCCAGCTAATTTTTTACTTTTTTTGTAGAGATTGGGGCTTACTATATTGCCCAGGCTGGCACACCACATTTCTTGATTACAGTTTCTAACCTTGGCATTGCCTTTTTCAAAGAGTCAACCAGACATTCATCAAAGAATAGAATTATCTTTGAATTATTGAGGTTTTAAGTAGACAGTCCTTAGACACAGGGATACAGTGTAGGAGTATCTCAATAAAGTGATTTAAGGACTCAGGAGAATGGCCTATGAGCTTCAGTGTGTTTAAGTGTAAATACCCTTTTTTTTTTTTTTTTTTTTTTTTTTGAGACAAGAGTCTCACTCTGTCACCCAGGCCAGAGTGCAGTGGTATGATCTTGGCTCACTGCAACCTCTGCCTCCCAGGTTCAAGTGATTCTCATGCCTCTGCCTCCCAAGTAAGTAGCTGGGACTACAGGCATATGCCACCACACCTGGCTAATTTTTGTATTTTTTAGTAGAGACGGGTTTTTACCATGCTAGCAAGGCTGGCCTCGAACTCCTGGCCTCAAGTGATCCGTCTGCCTCGACCTCCCAAAGTGCTGGAATTACAGGCATGAGTCACCATGCCTGGCTTTGTAAATACACTTTGTAAATAATGTAACCTTATCACATGTAGTCTTAAGTAATGCAAACCAGATTTGAAGCTGTTAGACTGTACCTGATATAGTCCAAGAAATGAATGTGTACAGCCTAGAATACATCTTTCTAATACGCTCCTAAAGACAACAAGGGCCAGCCTCCATTGGGTATTGCCTAGAAACCAAGAGAAATATACAGAAAATATGACTCCATCTTATAGAAAATATGTTTTGTCTAAACCTCGAAGAGACTGTATATAGTTCTAGAATGCACCTCAAGAGAGTCTTAAAAGCTCTGGATGGAAAGATTCCAGACATGGGGAACTAAATTCATTAAAGAAATGGATAACCTCCAGGTGAAGGGAAAAAACATGTGTGAGCGTTCACCAATGGCGTTCTAAAGGCAGGATTGAGACTGGAGTAGCTGGGGTCTATGTTTCTCAAGACAAATGATGGACCTAGCTTTGTCTTTTTTTTTTTTTCCTTATCCCTATGGCATGTTACATGTTACTGGTATAAAGTTCTTGCTCATTAATCATTTATTGAATTGAACCATATATAGGAATTTTTTGACTCTACCAATCCTGATGAAAGAATTAAGGTAATGGTGTAGATGGTATAATAAGGGATTTTCTGTCAATTTTTGGATAAGTAGCTTCTGTCTCCTTTAATGTGGACATTCTCTTCTGCAATACATTTGTCTTTGATGTCATGATCACTTTTGCGGCTAACACCATGGTTTACCTCACAAACATGTTGTGAGAAGACAAGCTTTATTACACCCCTCCGATGTGCCAGTCCTTCAAGGTCAACAGAACTCTGCTCCACGGGGATCCGTGTGCCCCAGCTGCCCACAAGATGGTCCCAGTATAGACTGTGAGTTCTTGAAGCTTGGATGTCTGCCCTGGAAGGCAACCTGAACAGAGATGACACCAGCCACACTCAGAAGGGAGCAAGGACAACATGTTTATGACACAGGGGATAGGAATTGAGCCAGAGGGCAATGGAGGGAATGGGGCGGCCAGAGGGAAACACTCTGTCTTGCCAACATTTTCTAGCTTTAGGCAGTTAGTCATCTTCAAAGCCACTTCCTGTCAAGGTTACAGTGATGGGAGGCAGATCCTGCCTTGCCATTCCATGCTGTGGATACGCATACCTCGTATTAATAGGACATTATCGAGCCAAGTGCCAGGTGGGTGTGTGATTCACAAGGGACAAAACAATGGCCTGTGCTGGGTGGTTGTCGGCTTTCCAACAGATCCAAATCCCAGAGCTGTGAGCTCCTGCTTTGCCTACCCTAACTCACAAAAAGCTACCGTAGAGCCTTCTGAAATGTGATACTTCTCCAAGCCAGAGAACAAGATCCATGTTGGGGATTGGTCCATGATTGCCATTTAACAGTTTTATGGCAGCTAAAGCAACTCCCTCTTGGATGCTAACCCACCTTGTTGACTTCTGATTAACACCAGTTCCAGGAATGCCTCTAAATTTCTGTTTTATCTACTGTTCCTTGTGTAAGGGCAGGTACTAACTCTAAATCTTGCCCATAAATCCAGCCCTTAGGCAGATTCACAAAGCCTTCTTGCCTTTTCCTACACGTGTCCTATATATCCTTTCCCTGTGGTGTATGAGCTCTGGGTTTTAGGGGTTAATGGCACCAGGATCCACCATCTAGTCTCACTGTCACCCAACACACAGACATGGCTTCTGTTCGCAGCAATTAAGAGTGTGCGTGTGTGTGTGTGTGTGTGTGTGTGTGTGTGTGTGTTTACATAAGAAACTGGATTTGTCGGCCTCTTTCTTTGACTTCTCAGCTTCTTTGTAATTCAAGGGTAGGTTTGCATTGGCCTGCTTACCTTAGAACAAGTTCCCTCTATGGACTATTAGGGGTGTGGATAAGGAAGGATCAGTGTAGCACAAAGAATGTTGTAAGGGTGAGAAGGAAAGGAGGTAGTCCCCAGCAACTCTTACTCTCTACTAGTTTTTAAACTCCTCTATAGAGCACTTTTGTGCCAGGTCAGTGCATTGAGGAAGCTGTCTAGTCATGCTGGGAATTCATTCAATTAGTCTTCAGCAGTGTTTGGCCATGAGGGGTCTATGTGAGCACGTAGGAGAGCACCTAAGCTAAGCTTGGTTTGGGGAGTAGAGAAGACTCTGCCCAGAAAAAGATTGTTAGAGGAGATGTGCAAGATAAGTAGCATTTTGGTAAAAAACAAAAACTTTCATAAAGGTGTTCCATGCAGTGGGAGTAGCATGTGGAAAGGTGAGTGAGAAAATGAATATGAATATTCAGGAAAAAGAAGCTCATGGAAACTGGAGCCTCAGACACGAAGTGAGAATAGTAAAGATGTGGATGGAGAGGGGGGAAGCGCCGGCCGAGCCCCATCAGTCACTCAAGCAGCCGCAACTCTCATCGTCTGGGTACTGGTACCAACTTGCCACTCTGTTTCATGTGTATTATTTTATGTGCTACTCATAACAACCTTAGGAAGTAGTTGCTTTTGTTTTTCCCAGTTTTAAACATAAGGAAACTGGGACCTAGTGAATCTACATGACTTGTCCATGATCATCTTTCTGTAGTTGATTAATGAGAGGATCAGAATTTGAACCCAAGCAGTCTTGTCACCACGGCAATACAGTCAAATACTTCAGTCTTTTCTTATATAGTCATTTTTGT